CAACGCCGGAGAGTGGGGATGGAGAAGGGAGGAGAGGTGATGTGGAGGGCGGGGATGTGTCTATCAGTGAATCATAGCAGCTCACTAGAGAAGAAGAGGGCAAATCGGCAGCTGAAGTAATACACCTATGACAATGGTTACACAGCATCTATGTGGCTACTATTAGTACAGACAGAACTACCACTACTACTGCTACTGCCATACCTGCTTCTGGTACTGTTATATTGTGACTATAGCCCACATCCACCATTGGACTACTTAATTACCCCCATTAATAGCAGTGTGCCCCCATATAAAATCCAGTTAGTTTTTAAATGCTTTGCCATTAAACTGAATGGAGCATAATTTATTTGCTGCTTCTGAGGCTTTTGTAACCTTAAACCTGAGCTGGATGTGGTGCAGTAACCAAACTACTCATGGTAAGTTACTAATCTGTGCAGTGGAAGTATTACTCAAAAAAACTGTTACAAGTTAAATACAGAGGTGACCGAACATGCACCCTCTCTTCATCTCCTCTTGAGGGCACTGCAGCCTTGTACAATTCTGTGTCTGGCCTGGCAGGGTCCGCAGCGTTTTTTTGCCTGGGGACCGATTGTGAGATCTGAGGGCAACACAGGAAGATGCAGAATTATGGAGGAGTTTTCTTCTATGATCAAATGTCCATCTAAAATCTTAGCAGGCAAAACTGCTGTCAGAGTTGCACTGCATTTCTGGAACTCTGCTGCACTGTGATCTTATATTGGACGGAACGTGTTTGGAAAACTTACCTGTCAAGCTTTCCGCTCTCACATAGACCCAGAAGGTGGGAGGAGTACAGTTGTCAAGGTTATCTTCATTAATGTTAGAAACTGATGGCTACAGCTGTGTGTATGTGTGTGGGTGTGCATGTGCTTGTAAAGACAGGTATACAGTGTGAGGACCAATTTGAATACCATTGTTGTGAGGACACTTTGGCTGATCTTCACATCTGTTGATGGTTCAGACTTGGTTTTAGTGTTAAGATTAGAATTAGGTTTTGGTTAGGGGAACGGATGGGGTTCCGCATTTTGGTGTGATGCTTAAGAACAGGATAAGGGACTAGTTAATTCATTAAGCCAGTGAGTGTCCCCACAAAGATAGTTGTTCAGACATCTGTGCGTTTGTGATGTCCATGTGCTCTTCTTCTGTCTGGCATTTCTGATTTCTCCTGTGACTCACAGGAGGCTGACTCACCACTGCTCATTTTGCTCTGTGTGTTTGTGTGTGTGTGTGTGTTATTCACTCATTTTTTCTCATCATCCCCTCAATCTTTTGCTTTGTGTTAATCTTTTATTGTCTTCTCAGCTTTAATGATACCAGTGGGCCCATTACTCCCACCTTCTTTCCAGGGTAATAATGAAGTCCTTGGCCCTCCTTCAGTATGACTGGACACATTTCTGCCTGTGTAGGTTTTGACTTATGATGCTTCTATTAGTCTGAGATTTTATTCCACCCACTGGTGTGTGCATGAAGTTGCAATTAAAGAAGCACAAATTTCAAGAGAGAATACAAATGGAATATAATTTCATGTGATTTTGAGTGCTAAGTTTATAGAACTCAAAACCCCTTTATTTTCAACAACAATTTCTGAAAATGCCTGGGAAATTCATTTATTTGACAAGTGTTAGATGAAAAATTTGATCATAGTCTCATGTCTGAACACTACATGAACTACTTCCATTTAGCTCAGCTTAGCATAAAGTTTGGAAACAGGATGACACAGCTAGCTTTGCTCTGTCTGAGGGTAATGAAGTCCACCATCCAGCATCTGGAAAGCAAGATAATTACCACTTCTTTTTTTTAATTCAAAACAAATTGTAAAAACACATATCTTGATGACAGCTTTCTGTATACAATTTCAGTTTAGTATAAAGATGTTTTAAAATCTGTAAGAGTTTTTTTTTTTGGCACTTATGGGCATGGAAATCAACTATAAACACAGCATTGGATGTATAATTAAGTTTTAAGTTCATATGGTGGAATTCTTAGCAAAAATGTTTATTCACAGCTGATATGCAGCAACATCGTGTTTCTGGCCATCTCATGAATAGAAATTCAACATTCACTCTCTTTTAGCTCTGTCTTTGGTCTCTGCCAGCCACACTTTGTACTTCACATTGTCCACAGGCTAGCTGCTCATCTTGTCTGTCTGCTGGTTGGTGTTGGGTAGGGTACAATAAGTCTGAAGACAAAGCTGTTTAAAGTGGCATGAGTGAAACAGTAAAGATGCAAACTGGAAAACAAAAACAAAATGCTGAAAGATGCTAAAAAGCATGTGGAGCTGAGGGGTGATTCTGTCTAGGTTTAGTGAGCACTCTTATGTATACCTCAAATAGTTCAGTAATCCATTGTACATATAAAATTATTGATCACAGCCACTTTAATATCTGCTGAAAACAAAGGTCTTTTGCTCTTTTAACAGGATGAATAATAAGGGCTTTGCTTTAACAGAACAGGCAGTGTGTAGGTGTAATGATTAATAAGATGTTTTGCATCAGCCTACACAGCATGCTGTTATTTTCTGCTTTATTTGAATTAATTTCATTACTATTCACAGATTAATAAGCAATGGAAGGAGGAAATAGAACAGATGGAAGAGGCTGTGATGAGGTAGCAATTCAACTAAATTCAATTCAACTGATGGACAATGAAATGAGATAACCTTTGACCTTCACTTTTGTCAATCAGTACTGTAGCTCTCTGTTCCAAAGACGTCCACCAATCACCGAAGTCCTTTAAAAATACCCACAAGGCACCTGTGGAGTAGTCTGACTGAGGACAGTGTTTCCATGGCAACAACATCATTACCAGAATAGCTTTTTTCCCTCTATTTCTGTCACCCCCTCCGTCCTTTCATTCCACCTCCTGCTTTCCGTGTTTTCTCTTTTCTTTCTTTTTGTTCATTTATATTTCTCCTATTTTCCTGTTTCCCTGCCCTCTCCTTTGCTTGATTTTTCTATCATTTCATTGTCCCTTCTCATCCTCACTCCTAGTTCCCTCCCTTTATTCCAACCTTCTTCTTTTCTATGCCCTCCTCCTGCTCCTCTCTATGTGTTTTGCAGTCACATTGTGCTAAGAGTGAAGATATTTATAACTGCACCATGATTACTCTTCTCCTCTCTTTTCATTTTCTCTCCTTTCCTTACATTGTAAACAATAATGAATGCTGGTAAGACTTTTACCTTTCTTCTATTTTAGTAACTGAAAATGTTCATTCTGACAGTTACCTGTCATTATTAAACATATCATGAAATCAGTTTTGTCAAAACTCAAAGGCTTATTTCTGGACTGAGCTAATGTCCCACCATACTTCTGTGTTCCACATTGTTCCACAGTGTATTAGCATAAATTAGTAGCCACTTACCAGAACTGTCACTTTCTCATAATGATACAGTGGGATAAAATTTAAGTCTATCTAAGAGTTAAAAATACTAAATAATATAAGAAAAGTGAATAATTAAAATGAAAACCTGGCTTCCAATATGACCTTTCAACATCTTTTTGTCACTGTCTGTGGATATTCAGTGGGCTATTACAGATTGTTATGGAATATATTTATTAGCATCCAATAGGAAACACAAGTAGCACATTTTCACTGGTTCAGTAAGTGTAAGGTTACCACATTTAACATTTTCCTCTGCACTCTTTAATTAATGCAGTTACACCTGTCAAGCATTCCATTACAGCAGATTTACCATTTGAAATTCATGGTGATGAAAAGACAGCAGGGACCAGACTTTTTAGCCAACAATTATGGATTTTGTTGGCTGAAATGACAACGGTCACCAGCAGATTTTGCTAGCTAGAGTTAGACTGTGTATACTAACAAAAGTATTAAATGTCTGTGGCTAGATTTACTTTTTAATGTTTTGAGCTGATTCATTTTAAAAACAACCTAAATAACCAACATCAACCTAAATATTCACACAGTGTTTGGCAAATGTAACACTATCTAATGCAAGTTAGGCTGAAGCTGATAGAGAGTAAATGTCACCAAACCATATAAAAAAGATGACAGAGCATCTATTTTCCTCTAAACTCTGATAAATAAGCATCTTGGCTCACATGCAGTGGATGTGCAAGCAGGTATATGTACAGATGGGTAACAAATGAAAGGAATAACCAATATAAAGCGCTCTAGCTGGGCCACCAGAACAGATTCAGTGCACCTTGGCATTGACTCTCCAAGTCTCTGAACTCCACTGGAAGGATGAACAGCATTCTTCCAAAAAGATATTCCCTCATGTGATGGTGGAGACACTGTCTAACATGACGCTCCAACATCTTCCATAGGTGTTCAGCTGGGTTGAGATATTACATGATTCACATCATTTTAATTCTCATCAAACCATTCAGTGACTCCTTGCATCCTATGGA